TTTCATACAGTGACGATGCAGTGCCCGTCTGAACAGACGTTAATACAGGCATGTTAATGGGACCTGGTGTAAAACACTCCCTATGGATTGATGACTCAGTCCACAGGATCCCCCCAGTCTAGTAGAGCCAAGGTACTGCACCGCTGACTTCAGCAGGGAGCTGGGGTGTTCCAAGACCCTAGCAGGCTTCACCAGTCTCTTAGCAGCAGCTGGCCATTACAGCCCTGATGTGGTGTGGCTCAGCCCAGCATGTTTATCATCCATGCCCAAGACACTGTCTGTAATGCCGTTCCCTTAGATGACCTCTGTTCACTCAAAACAGGCTGCCGTAAGCTGCGGGCTGTGCAGGTAGAGCCCTGCACATCCATGGCTATCTGCTTTATATCTCTGGGTATCTTCAGCTCATTATTGTAGAATTGTAGTTAGAACCCTGCAAATTTGTGGATATCTGCTTTATATCTGCATCCACGGGTATGAATGCAGATATCTGTTTCATATCCATGGGTTTCAGTACAGATATCTGCTTTAAACCCACAGGTATCTGTATTCACATCTACAGGTGTGAATGCAGATATCTGCTTTGTAACAGCATCCGCAGGTGTTAGTGCAGATATCTGCTTTATATCAGCGGGTATCTGGATCTACATCCATGGCTGTGAATGCAGATATCTGCTTTATAATCACAGGGATCCGTATCCACATCCACAAGTGTAAATGCAGGTATCTGCTTTATATCCGCGGGGATCCGTATCCACATCCGCGGGTGTCCGTGCAGATATCCGCCGCTCATTTTTGCAGATACAGAGGCAGAGGTGGATACAGATTTTGTATCTGCGCAGGGCTCTACGTGCAGGGTATTTTATAATCCCAAAGCAGAATCTACTTTCCTCTGCTGCTCCTATAAGATTCAGACAGATGTTTCTTAATATCCACCAAGAATGATGATCTCATTAGCAGTGCATTTCCATAGACCCTTCCATCAGGCCCCTCCCTGCAGCCTGCACAGCCCATTAAACCCTATCGTGCAGCCTTTCCAGCCTGCCCTCGGAGCAGGGGGAGGGAGGAAATGGAACATTTCGTTTCTGATTCATTAGTGGTGCATGTACGTCCACCTACCCACTGGAAGGCATCGGAATTAGAGAGACAAACACAACTGCTGAAAGAAAGACACACCATCTGGCTGCCTGTGCCAAAGCAACAAATCAAGCAATTACCACCCAATCAGCTTGATTGCCAGGGGTGCTAAGTACCCACTCCTCCCATTGGACCAGACTGTCCCCGTGGCAACGTGGCACCAGGAATGATTGAATGTCTCAGTTTCATCTGGTAGCATTCCCCTTGTGTAAAGGATTTGCAAAGGTGCAGGGCCCAGAGATGAGATCCAGTTGCAGATCGAAAAACAGTCCATTAGCATTTTAAGAATGCAAAGCATGCGGAGTGGAGGGACTTATCAGCAATGTGACGTGATGGTATGGATGAGCTGCTCATAATCCTCTATTACAGATTACTTGTCTGTAAAATGGGTATGATAAATCTGCCCCGTGGCACAGAGAGAGTTCAGAACTCCTCCACGCACTGGAACTACCTCCATCTGCCTGGGGGCATTCTTCCATTTGGCATTTTCACCAGCACTAATATTGATTTTTTTAAAAGGAAAGAGGAAAACACAGAAAAGCAAAACTCCCCCCGAGCTCCCCCATCCTTGCATACCAACCCCCGAAATGGAAAACAAACTCTGGGCTCAGAAACCCTCCAGTGTCTTTGTGCATGAGTTCATAGCTGGAAGAAGGAGCCTGTAATACAATCACTTGGATTCTGACAGTAGAGAATTTAATGTGGGATCTTTCACAGGTGGAAATTATTAGAAAAAGCTAAACAGCTTAGAGGGCAAAGGTTTTGTTTAAAATACATAACAAACTGTAACTTAGCACCATTTTCATAGCAGAGCTAAAAACGCTTTTTTTGGCTTCGCCTCAGCAGCAGGCCAAGACATTCTATTAACAGTTTGTCTCTTTTAGGAAGGACACGATACAAGCAACTAGCTTGGGTAAATACTACTCCCTCTCCTGTCTGGCGCAGGTCATGAGTGAAGGGTAGATGCAGGATGCAAAATCCAGATTTCAAGCATGGGGGAGGGGCTGGAGGGACCCGGGTAAAGTTCCAACCTAGAAGCCGGAAAGGGGGAGTATGAACCATTGTTGCCAGCTCTTGAAATAGTGACTCCCAAATAAATATTTCAAAATAGCACGTCTACACAACGGGGAAACCTTGAAATTAGTCCGAGGCAGACTCCCTTAATGTGAACACACTACCTCGACTTCGAGATCCAGGAGGCACTGGGGAGTAATTACTTTGAATTGCAATATGATGGGGACTAATTTAGCTATAACTATGCAAGAGAGAGATCTTGGAGTCACTCTCTGAAAACATCCACTCGGTGTGCAGCGGCAGTCAAAAAAGCAAATAGAATCTTGGTTCACCCACATCTTGAATACTGCGTACAGATGTGGTTGCCTCATCTCAAAAAAGACATACTGGCATTGGGAAAGGTTCAGAAACGGGCAACAAAATTGATTAGGGGTCTGGAATGGGTCATAGATGAGGAGGGATTAAAAAGACTGGGTCTTTTTAGCCTAGAAAAGAGACTAAGGGGTGGATATGATCGAGGTCTATAAAATTGTGACTGGTGTGGAAAAAATGAATAAGGAAAAGTTATGTATTTGCTCCCATAACATACGAACTAGGGGTCACCAAATGAAATTAATAGGTATCAGGTTTAAACAAACAAAAGGAAGTTTTTCTTCACACAGAGCTCAGTCGGTCTGTGAAACTCCTTGCCAGAGGATGTTGTGAATACCAGACTTTAACAGGGTTCAAGAAAGAACTAGATAAATTCATGGAGGATAGATCCTTCAATGTTTATTAGCCAAGATGGGTAGAAATGGTGTCCCTGGCCTCTATCAGAGGCTGGGAATGTGTGACAGGAACGGATTACTTGATGATTCCCTGTTCTGTTCACTCTATCTGAGGTATCTGGTATCGGCCACTGTCGGCAGACAGGACATTGGGCTAGATGGATCTTTGGTCTGACCCAGTAGGGTCGTTCTTACGTTCTTATGTTGACTCTGAGGAGTAGCTGTTTCGAAATAGCAGCAGTCAAGCATCCATACTACCACTATTTTGAAATAACTATTTTGAAATAAATGCTATTCCTCGTGGTAAGCAGGACTTATTATTTCGAAATAATCAGTCTGTTATTTTGAAATAACGCTCTTGGTAGTGTGGACTCTCCACTTGTTATTTCGAAATAAGGGGAGTTATTTTGAAATAACTCCCTAGTGTAGACCAGGGCCCACACCTGCCACACATACCAAAATGTATTCCATGCATAGATGGAAAAAATTAGAGGGAACATTGCCTGCTACCCATGGCCTTTAGCACGTGGGTGTACAGGTGTGGTGGAGGGGGGATACATTTCTAGCAAGATCTGATAGCTGGATCTTGCTGTCGCTCTCACAGCTATCTTCCTTCTGAATTACGTTTTAAGGGAATTCTTACTGGAGTTATCAGTCCACAGCTGAATAGTTGCATTGATTATTTCCTATCCTTTGACTGTGTTGGGAAACAGCACACTTGAGGGCATGAAACTGTAGCAGCATCTTTGCGGTATTTTAATAGGGCTGCATCTATTTTCATAGGGTACGTCTACACTGCATGGCTATTTCAAAATAAGCAATTCCAGAATAGTTATTCCAAAATAGCTTATTTCAAAATAGAACATTTACTCTGCAGGGAAGTCTCAAAATTAGTCAGAGACAGGCTCCCCTAATGTAGACGCGTTACCTCAATTTAGAGCCTCAGGAGGCACTAGGGAGGAATAACTTAGAATGGCCCTGGGGAGGGGCTATTTTGAAATAGCAGCAGTGGCGCGCCTACACACGTCTTATTTCAAAATAGCTAATTCGGAATAGGCATTATTCCTCATAGAATGAGGTTTACAGATTTCGGAATAAGTCGTCTGTTATTTCGAAATTATTTCAAAATAATGGATTGGCCATGTAGACGCTCAGATTGTTATTTTGAAATAACACTAGTTATCTCAAAATAACGGTGCAGTGTAGATACACCCATAGAGGACAAGTGTGATCCTAGGATTGCAGTGGCCAGGCACACACCTGGACAACTAGAATGTTAGCACAGATGATCATAAGGCTAACTGTCCTGAGGGGCTCCAGATTAGCAGATAAATCTGCGCATCTGGATACCCAGACATAGTCATCGGTATATCCAGGGTTGGTCTTGCCAAGCTCTGTGGCAATGGGCTGGTTGTTGTGGAAGGAACAGTTCACGCTCCTCCAATACAAAGCCAGAGGATTCCTGTGCCAGGCTGGCATTCTAACCAATGGTGGCTCAGACCCGACTGACATTCTTGTCTAAGGACCTACCAAATCCACGCTCAAGGAACATGTGCCATGGATTGTGAAATCAGGTCTCCCCTGCTAAATCTGCTCTTTTGTGGACTTTCACTCAATACTGTAAGGTAAAAGTATGCCCTTCCTTTTGTGACGCTGCTGGTGATGGCAGAGCCTCCAGGGCCGGCCACCCAGCCAGCAGCCGCTGCTTTCCAGACGTGACTCCATCTGGGGTTTCTCTGAACAGTCCAGCAAGAGTTGCATTGGGTTGAGCAGCTTTTGACTCCATCTGGGCCCCCAGACAAATACACGTGGACAGCTGGCTTGTGAGTAGGACACTGCAAAGGCCAGCATGGTCCTCCTCTGTTACATCGTTGGCATGCTGAGCACTTGGGCGGCCACGCAGGAGAGATTCAAATGCTGTCCCACTGATTAGCAGAGCGCCCACAGCTGGCAGCTGTCGGTGGCATGTGTTTCTAAGGGCGGTGCACATCCATACATGTAACAAAATGTATTCCACATGCAGCAGGAGCAAATTAGAAGGAACATTGATCTCCATGCTCAGTAACCTTTTTGTTTCTCTTCTAGGGCCGCTGTATCAATTTCACCCGAGTGAAGAATGCGGAGGCACTGCCGAAATACCCACTCAACAACGCATACCCACCCTCCTCGCCGCCTCCTGCCCCGATCTACAACCCTCCGCCCCCTGCCCCGATCTACACCCCACCTCCCTACACCCCACCTCCTCCCCCCCCATCCCCCTCATCCACTCTCCCTCCACTCCCCCCACCTCCCCAGGCTCCTGCTCCCAACCGAGCCCCTCCTCCCTCCAGGCCCCCACCTCGCCCTTCTGTCTAGGGGCTCAGTCTCGTCCCTCTCTCTTCCAGAAGCATTCGGAGGCCTCTGTCAGCAGCACTGTAACAAACCTGTCTGGGGGGAGGGTTATAGGAGGCCTTTACATTCTGAAATAGGTGACAATAGAACAAACCACTTGCTAGTCTGTTAATCTGTCTCTGTAGAATCCCATAATGCATCAGTGTCCTCCAGCCAGCAACGAGAAAAAAGCCAGGGGCCTGCAAAAATGATGCCACTGCAGAAACCTAATTCACTAATGTGGCGTTAGCAGGGCCCTTACCCCTCCTGCCCTCTGTGGCTTACCACGGGGATCCCGGAAGAAACTGGACATTTCTTAGCTCTTAGAAAATCCAGAAACCACGGGGCCGTCTTCCGCAGCGAACGGCACAGCTGAAAGCTCCCGCAGACCATGTGGACATCACCATAGGCTCCTTTGCCACCACTGCGTGAGTTCTCTTCTTGTTGCAGTGCTTCAGATTAATGGGAAAATGGCTTATCTCTCCCATGTCTGCAAACAGCAGGATAACGTCATGAGGAGTGTTAGACTCTTGAGTTTTAATCTGAAAAAAAGCAGCCTTCCCAATGGACTTTGTTTTGGAGAAGGAACGGGGCCTTCTTCGTTCAGTTCCCAGGAGGGTGCTGGAGTAGGTGTCTGGTGTAGGGATTTGTGGATGCTGTTACGCGGAAGGGTGGGTGGACGAGGCTGAAGTGCCATCAGAAACACGAATCACCTGTAATAATTTTTAAAAATAACCCACCGGAGGGCTCCAGCCCCACACCTGAAGACAAAGAGTTAGTGAAAGTTCAAAGTTCAATCATCAGGCCATAGGGGTCTGGAAACCACTGAGCAAAGGAAAGAAGGCTGAAAGAAGAGGCCTTACACTGCGTGTAGGCTAACTGCTCTCTGACGAGCATGGCAGAGTAATTCAGGGACCATTTCCATTTCCAAACAAAGGTTTCTGAAACAGCTGAAGTACGAACAAGTGGTTGCTTCTATTAATGGTTTTTCAAAAACTGCAGCCCCCCGAGGCTTCTTAAATCCTGTTATTGCCACCAGGTCACATAATATCAGCGCTGCTTTTTCGGTTATGGCTCACCTCCTTCTGCACTACCAGCTTCTCTGCTGGGATTTATTTTTCCCCTTTGCTGAATCAGCAGCAGGCGTCTCCCGGATACTTTGCGCAAGGGGCGCTGTGCAGCTACGTCTTCTTCTGGTCACTTTCATTACCAGTCTCATGCACAAAGCTGCCCTAGATGGGAATCAGGCTTCCAAGAAATGCACTGGCTGCATTTCTCCATGTTTTCTCCTCTTGTTTTCCGGTGGGATCTCCCCATAGTTTACAATACTGCCCTATGTACACGTTTTAACCAATAGTAAATTTCCTGATCACCTGCCTTTGTAAACACAGTGCTAGAAATAGTCAGTGTTAAAATCAAACCTCCACCTCCTTAGTTTACTTTTACAGTCATCTGTATTATGCAATGGCCCCCCTAGAAATCATATTTGTAGCTAAGTTCTATAACGATCTAAGGGCTTTCATATTCATATCATGTAGTTGGTTTTGACCAGATAGAGAGATGCATTTGCCAAATAGTTACCGCAGTGCTGCTGGAAATATGACTTCTCTGGAGGAAGAGGCTGTACAAGAAAGAGGGACAGAGCAGATACAAAGATAAAGACCCAGTCAAGGAACAAACTGGGATATCTTTCAGCAGGGACCTTTATTAATAGTCCCCTTCTATCAGGCTCAGCTTCAGTCCAGTGTCTTTTGTGTCATATGAACAAATTGACTTGGTGTGGGGACCACAATGACCCATGTAAGGGCTGCCGGCTGTAAAAGGCCAACGTGGCCACCATCACAACTGTTTTGTCTGCAGGCAGCACAGAGCAGTCCCCGCTATGAGCAGACATGGCACTTTTGACATTCCCTGAGTTGGTTGCTACTCAGCATGTAGCAAGTAGAGGCCGGGCTCAGTTCAACAAGATGATTTTAGGGTTGTCCAGTGGGACTGGAAATCTTGGGAAGTCCTGCCAAAAGTTTGGTTGGACTTCCTATTGGGATGAATGCCATCTAATGAAATAGCTGAAGATGGAAAGTGTAATAACTGGGAATAGTGTAATACTGTCCTGCGGGATTGCTAGGTAGTTCTCTTAATGGTACAGAAAAGTTTGGGAAGAAGATTATTGCTTAACCAAATGACATTAAGATTTTTTTTACTGTAAACTAGTAAATTAGAACAACTGCTAGCAAAAAATATATGGGTTTAATATCCTAGGACTAAAAGCAATGTTTGCAGAGTCCTATAAAAATTCTTTGCCACAATTTAACAGGGAAAAAAACCACAAACTTAAACAGAGTAAAAGAAAAGTGTCGATCAGGCCTGAAAAAAATAATTGTAATGTATCCCTGAACTCCAGTCTTTCTCATGGGTAAAATACAAACTCCAAATTGTTGTTGTATATATTGTTATTGCATGCTTACCATATGTTAGATGGGAGCATTTCCTATCCAGTGTGGATAAAAGAACATTTTTCAAGTTGTAGTAAATTATTATAAAGCCAATGATATTTCATGGCACGTTATTGTATCAAGCTGTGCTTGTTGTATTTTTGTTCTTTATGTTCCTGTTGCTTTTTATAAATGTACAAATATTTCCTGTAGTGACGAGTGCCTGCTTTGCATAGCATTAATTGAAGTACAAGGACTGTGGGCTGTACATTCCCCTGGATCCACTTACTCGGGGTCATGCACTTGGATCTAGAGTAGTGTATGGCCATACTGCAGTGAGTATGTGTAGAAACACTTAGCGATAAGCAAATGCCTGTTTTTATTAACTGATTATTAGCCAGTTATTTGCTAGACATTGAACATTCAGGAACACTCTGGACATAGAATCAGAGTGCTCATGGGTAGTGTTCCCTGTAAACTGTGCTCTTATGTGGCTGCTCAGGAGAAATTCAAATGTCGCCCTCAGCTAGGTTTGTGTTTCTACTGTTGGTGCACATTCGTACATGTCTCAGTGCGCATAAAAATTACTCCGCACATGGATGGAAAAGATTAGAGGGAGCATTGCCCCCAGGCAAGTTATGTGTTTTCAGTATACTCTGACCATGTAAAATGTACTCCGCAAAACCAGAGTCAAGGCTGGCTAGCAGAATATATTCTCCTCCTGTGTTGCATTTAAAATCAACATATGTTTGCACAGTCATGCAGGTTTGGGGCCTGGTGCTGAAGCAAGGAGGTCAGCTGGAGTTCTGCCATTGACGTCAGCAGGCACAGCATCACGGCCACATTTTCTGGGGCTGAAATAGATGCATGTACTAAATTGACAGGGGCACGGCAGAAATGCTGATGTTTGTGCCTGCATGCAGATGCCCACTTGTGTGTTCTGAAGGGACTTTCAGCAGGTGCAAACTATCGAAGCGCAGTGTTCTGTGCAAACACGTACGGGCCTTTTCAAATGTCTGGCCCTATCTTTCCAAAACTCTGAACTAACCTTTCCCAAAGGGGAGACGGTTTCTCATAGCGCAGGGTCTTTCATCTGTAACAAACAGCTTTGAAGGTAGAGGCTGGCGCACAGGTTGCAGGAGGGAAAGGTTTAAAGAAAGCATCGGGAAGTCAGTCTGTGAGCATGTGGCTGGAATGCTAGCTCCAGTTTCAGCATCTTTGTAAATAGTTCTCCTAATAAAGGGCCAGTTTTAATTTGACAAACATGGAGTCCTTTTATGTATTATCCAGCATGTGGTACTTGAAACATAATCTAGCAGACAAATGCATAACAAGATTCAATGGCAACAAGCTGAGACTAGACAAATTCGAACTAAAATTAAGACACACATTGTTCACAGTGAGGGTAATTAACCATCAGAACAGTTTGCTGATGGAGAAGGTAGATTCTCCCTCACTAGAAGCCTCTAAATCAAAATGGGATGCCTTTCCTAAAGTTATGCTGTAGCTCAACCAGAAATGAGAGGCTCAATGTAGAAGTGATCAAGTGACATTTGACTGCCTGTGTTATGCAGGAGATCAGATCGGATGATTGGACAGGTCCTCATGTGGCCGTAGAAACTGGCTACATCTACACTGCTGGTTTTTTTGCGGCAGAAGATATGCAAATTGTGCTGGCATTTTCATATCTTCTGCTGATCCTTTTTGTGGAAGAGGTTTTGCCACTAAAAAGCCCCATGTAGATGGGGCCATTTGTCGGGGAAAAAACCTTTTGTGCAAGATCCTGTAAACCTCAGATTTTGAGGAATGAAGGATCTTGCACAAAAGGGGTATTTGCCAACAAAGGGCCCCATCTTCACGGGGCTTTTTAGCGGCAAAACTTCTTCCACAAAAAGGATCAGCAGAAGATATGCAAATGTCAGCGTGATTTGCAAATGTGAGCGTGATTTGCATATCTTCTGCTGCAAGAAAACGGAAGTGTAGACATAGCCCCTGTGTCTCTATGAAAGATCAGTCCCTGGGGACCCACCAGTGTATCTGCTCTCATCTCTGAATTTTCTTGTATTGCAGTCATATGAAGAGAGAGAAGGGAATAACTAAGGTATTGGGGGTGGAGAGAGAGAGAGGAGGTGTGGGAAGTAAAGGCACCTTCGGTAAAACCAGAAGTTGAATTAAAAATTAAGACCAAAAGGAGATATCTTCAGCTGGTGTAAACCATATGCCCCAACTGACTTCTGTCCTGATTGGCATCAGCTGAGGATTGGGCCCAAATGCCATCAAACTTGTGTTCCTAAGTGGCTTGACATGGTGGGTCAACACTGCAGCACTCCCGTCGACTCAGAGCGCTCTCCCATCAACTCCAGTGTTCCACCAGGATGAGAAGAGTAGCGGGAGTTGACAGGAGAGCAGCCCGCCGGGTAGAAGACACTGCAGTGAGTACAGTGACTGAAGCTGAGCACAGTATGTTAAATCGATAGGGGAGAGGGGTGTAGTGTAGACTAGGCCAAAGTTAGGCTCCCGTGTTTATATTTGGGCACCTTAACAGAAGCGAGCAGAGCTGCCAAGGCGCTAAGTCCCGGCCGACCTCACTGAAATGAAGGGAAGCCACAAGTGCTGGGCTCTTTTGAAAAAACATCAGATTCCTTTGGTTGAGGTGCTGAAATACGGAGTTAGGTGCTTAGCAGAGAACAGTGATTGGCAAGAGAAGCCGGAGAAATTCAGACTGGTGGTCAGGTGGGAATTCATAATGGTGAGAGTAATGAACAGGGAGGGCAATTTACAGAGAAGATAATTAACCAGTGGACCAACATACCAAGGGTTGGGGAGGATTCTCCATCCAGGCTGGCTGTTTCTGTCCACGATCTGCTGTAGGAGTCGTTTTGGGGAAGTTTTGGCTTGTGTTATGGAGAAGGTCGGACTAGATAATCACAGTGGTTTTATTGGAATCTATGAATCTAGGGACTTGACTACTTTTGAAACACTAGAGTGGCACTTCCTAGGCACGTCCATCCCTGTAGGTAATTCACCTCCCAGAGAGGCAGGAGCTAGGCTGACTGGAAAATTCTTCTGTCACCTGGCTCTGTCTGCGCTGGGCTAGATTGTGTGGGGGGGGGGGGGGATTTCTGACACACCGGAGCAGCATTCCCTTTAAGCTGGGCACTTGTGCAGCCCCTCAGGAGAGATTCAAATGCTGCCCAGCTGAATAGCAGAGCGCCCACCGCTAGGTTTGTGTCTTACTGGTGGTGCACATTCAGAGCCGCCCCTGGGATTTGTGGGGCCCTAGGCAGTACTATTAAACTGGTGCCCTATGCCCACCGGCAGCTGTGGGGAGCAGAGGAAATGATTCTTTAGAGAGGTGATTTTATGATCTTCAGCACCACACTCAGGAAAGTATTTGAATCCAATTTTAAACGAAGGTCCTGTTGAGTAACATGATACATTCAGAAACTGCCAATACACGTGTGTGGTTGGCAAATGTCTGTTAAAAGGTTCCCTTACCGCTTGGATGGCTCTTTCACAGGCTCAGTATCTGCTAATAGCTCTGGGAGGGTTTTTTCATTTTTAACTAGTTCCTCTCTGGAGGAAGGAGAGCCATAGGAAGAGGCGAGCAGGGGGACATTAAGACCCAGTGGTGACCCAGATTTTCAGGTGCCCTACTCAGCTTCATATTCTGTGTATGGGCAAAGACCTCCCTGTGCACATTTGCACATGCCTTGGTGTACAGAGAATCATTTATTCCTCACATGGATAGAAAAGACTAGAGAGAGCATTGCGCCTGAGTAATGTGGCTAAGTCAGCCTAGCTTTGTAGTATTGACCAAACTTATAAAACTTTAGGCAACCAGGTTTGAGAACATTGCTCATAATTTGACATTGCATTCCGGCATCAATTAACGCTATGCAAACAAGGTCGAATGAACTGGTGTATTGTATATGGACCCTATGTATCCTCTCCCTATAGAACTTCCCTGTTGTCCTTATTACAGGGCTGTCATTCTAAGCTAGCCACTTGAAGGCAAAAGTTCAGTAAAGAACATGAGGAAAGGAAGGAAGGAGCTGAATGGTGAAACATCTGCCCTGTAGTTTCAACAGGAATTAGGTTTTCATTTTTGTATCATTTTTACCACTTGCACATGCACAAATAGAGAAGTGACAGAATTGGTCTTGATAGCGATGTACAGCTCTGAGCGATTTGCTGTGAATAGGTCACTCGTGCCATAATCGTATATTACTCCTTAGTCATGTACATTTGTATATTCGATGCTCTCTGTCAATCTGTCCCACCGCCTGAAATGAATAAGCAGCAGCGTTTGGCAACGGCTACACACATTTCAAAAGGCAGAAAAGTTACCAGCTGCTGCTGGCTGTAATTTGAATCCTCATGTTCAAATTAGCCTTGTGAGCTTCCAAATTCTCCTACTGCTCCACATTGTGTCAAAGCATGTTCTGTCATCGTCCCGATTACGGGAGTTGGGGAGGGCTGTCTAGTTTCTTTGAGAGCCAGTGGTGTATGAGCCGAGAATGCTGTTAATAGCTGAGGCTTATGCAGCAGTGAGAAGGAAATAGGCTTCCTATTTTCATATTGACTTTAGTGTTGAGATCTCAGGACTGGTTGGAAGAAGACTGTTTAGCCAGGTTTCACTGATGATGTTCCACTCCCTGTGTTTGTTTCATGTGTCATTTGTTAAACTACTCTTGCTGATCTTGATGTTATTATTAAAGAACCACACTAATTCATGCCTGCTTCCGTATGTTTTATTTACTAGATAAAAGTGAACACACTGGGAGAAAAGCAGGAGAACGTGCTCCAAGTGAAACTGCCCTTCACTGGGTATGGGATACCTGTGCTCTGCTGTTGTGGGTTTCTAATAGCTGTCATTGTGT